TGTGCTTTGTGTTTGGATTTTGTCTGCTGTAAGCACTTTTGGTGAAGTGTAATAAACCTGATGGAGTGAGCTCCACCAGAGGTTTACTTTGAATGCTTTCTTGCCCAAACCTAAATCACGATAAAGCTTTGGCAGGAGTTAGGCATCCAGTTGCTTAAGCCAGGATGCTTCTAAGAATGTGCGGGAGTCTGTGCTTTGACATCTGCGCTGTGAGTCAGACCAATTGATATTGATTTTGGTTCGGCTGTGTTGTCTTTGGGTTTGTTTTGGGTTGGGTTTTTTTCGAGTACGCACAGCTTTTCATTGTGACTGAATGTGCTCTGGCATTTAAGTGCCTGAAGTTCACCTATTTCAAGAGCCAGTCAGAATTTAACCTTTAAGAATGCGAGTCCTATCAAGCATCTTCCTTATCAGGTACTGAAGCACAGAGTTGCAGACCTGGAAGCCCACCTTCAGTTGCTATGAAAATAAAAAGGTGCTATTTCCTGGCTATGTCATGTGTCCAACTTTCAGATTTCCTCAAAGCGTGCTGTTTTTGACAAGGCTGAATGATGTATGACTATGCAAGATTTGTAGACTAGGCTTTTTATTTTTCTCCTTTGGAGCTGAGTTCAATTCAGCAGGTTACTCAGAGCTCACATAACCTTCTCCGCTTTATCTTCAGTAGGTTTCTCTGGTGTCCACTTTTATCCAGATTCCCAAGCTCACTTTAAGCACTTAGGGAAAGCAGTGTCAGGGACTGAATTCAGCTGAAAGCACTTGAAATCTGGGCTCCCACCTTTTGACGGGGATCTGGGATGAGTGGCGTTTGGCATTCCAGCTTTCCTTTAAAAAAAATTCATGTTGTGTGGAGTAATGTTTCATTGTGCTTCAGGGACAGTGGGATAACAGCACTTTCCCAAGCTTATTGTCCTGTCCACTAATACGGAGCTTCAGGGTATGATCGCTGCTTCACTTGATTTCTTCATTTTATGCCAAAATTCATGCCAGCAGGATGCTCACTCCAACTGGTTGATTTAGAGTCAAGTTTGTTCTCCAAATTAGGTGTTTTAACTGATCCATGGGCTCAGCTGTTGAAACCTCAGTGTAATACAGTCTTTAGTCTGTGAATGGATGCTAAGGTACATCACTGAAACTATACCTTTAGAAAAGAGGAAAAGTTGATGCCGTTGTATGAATGAGTGAAGCTTTATCTGGAATAGGATGTGCTTATGTTTTGGTTGCATAGTTGAGAATGAACTCAGACAGAAGAGATGCACTGTTGAGGGGAGCTTTTAGGGTGAGTAAATTGGAAGAATCCAGTTTGTTTAGTATGCAGATAAATTAAAGATCAAGCATCAGGCAAGACTTGTTGAACCTAGATGGTCTTTTCTTGCACCCGCACGGGTGGGCAAAACATGGCTTTGTGTAAGCGTAGGCTGAAAATTGGGAGGAAGCTTCAGTGCAATTAGAGGAATGTGGTACTGGATGTGACCTTTGGTTGCAATGGTGTAAAGTCCAACTGCTTTTTGAATGGATCTTGGTGAGCTTAGGAAAGTTATTTATGTGACGCACTGGTGGAGTTTGCAAAATCTGGGGCACAACTGTCACTGCTGAATTTTGCAGGTGAGGACTGGCATCTGTTTTGTTTTGAAGCAAAAGGCGTAGTTATCTGATACCAGGAGAGACTGCTCGATGTGAAAAGGAGGAGGCAGCCCAAAGTGAAGTGCTTAAACCTTGAGCCAGACATGGCTTCAGCTTTTACCAGTTACCAGCATAAACCTTCTGTCACAGGGCTGCTAGCCCAGACCTGGAAATACAAGCCTGTGAGGGAACTGTACAACCCTATCTTGTGGGCAACGCTGGTGAAACCTAGCTTGTCTATAAAAATACATCTTTTGCATACACCACATTGGGCTTTTTTTTTTTTTTCAGTCTTAATATTTTATTATCATCACAAAAAAAAGCAAAAATATAATATACCTCCAGACTGAGTGTTTTTACAATGCTTTCAACTTGAAATTCAGGCTCTATGTTTGAAAGGTTAATGTAGAAAACTAATTATATTATCCTGGTAACCAAATGTGTGATGAGACATTTGTCTGTGTAATTAACAGTGAAGAACTTTTATAGTTTCATAAAATCGAATGCTACGCACAGTGTGCTTGGAGCATTTGTTTTGAAGAGATGTCCAAAACAGAGATGTTTATGACTGATATAAAGTGGAACTGAAATGTACTGTAATGCAGGTGTCTGTGCATTTTACAGCATTTCGCATTGTTGAAATGGAAGGCAGCAGATTAATAACTTCGCTATGTCATGGTAAAAATAAATAATGTGTTCTTGGAGCAGGGGAGCGATGCATAAGTTACTCACTAATTTCAAGAATTTATTCTGTCCCAGACATAATATCCTTTGCAATTTATTCACAGAGAAAAAGTTGACTTAACAGAAGTCTGTGAAGTTACTTGTTACTTTTAATAGAATTATATTGTTTGTTGCAATAGTAGATTCTGTAATTAAGACTACATAAAAGTTTATTTTATATATCTATGTTCTCCAATCATCTAACTTCATAAAGCATTTCCCGTTGGGGCTGAAGCATGATTTTGACCTGGGCTATTTCCAAGAACTGAGGGAAGTTGTTGCATAGCTGTTATTATTTTTTAAATTATATGACCCTGTTAATATATACATTTGTTGAACAATTGCTTACTTGTGCTTTCCTGAGTGATTTAGCTGTTGCAGTGTGGCATGAAGGCGTGTAATTTACGCTTCTGTATCTGTTTCTGTTGGGTGTTTCGAAACTGTTTCACCAAGCTCTTCAAAAGAGTTATTTTCTGGTGGTGAGCCAGCTTCCAGAGACATAACACCTCAAATCCTGAATGGTCCCAGGGCCTGATCCTGGGTTTGATTCTGCACATTGCTTTGCTTATATTAGTGTTTGTGAGGTGTGTTGACTTTCTGCGTCTCATTGTATGCAGGGGTGTCTATCAACCCAGGTACTTCCATGCTTGGTTCGGGAGTAGGGTGTCTAATTTGAAGGTAATCTAGTTTTCCTGTAGATATAATCTTAGTACTTTGTGATGATGTGAAGATAGGTAAGTGCTTTTAAAAGACATTTTAGAGCACTGCTAAGATGCCTCAACTAAGACAGCTTAAATGTCCCTGTATGTTATCTTAGGGTAGTCAAAGTCCTTGGCTCATAATTCATGTTGCTTGCGTGACCCTCTGACATTGTTCGTGACCACTGCTCTCCCTGCTGACTTGGGACTTAGGTTTTTAATTTGCAAAGTGTGTTGTTGCCTGTGTTACTTGTTCAATATAGGTTCCTATATGCCAGCAAAGACTGGGGATCACTTATTTGAGAAATGCGTGCTTACCCCATCAATTTTGCTACAGAGATGCGTGATTCAAATTATCTACAGGGCAGCCACAACAACTTTCCACGTGGTTTAGGAAACCTTTGATCCGATAAGGAATAATTGCACATGGCTCGCCTATTTTCCCCATGCTGACCTTCGCAATTTTCTATTTCAGGACCATTTGTGGTACAAAATGACAGTGGCAAAAATGTCTTGAGTTTTGAAAGTTACAGTTTGATGTGGGTATAACTTTTGCTGAGAAGGGATGCTTAGCTGCCTTCCAGGACAACTGTCCTTTAAGGAAATATTTGAGTACCATGTAACGCTCGGTGTGGTGTTTTGGTGAACTCAGCCTGGCTGCGCACTGGGGACATGCGCCCTGCACGCACACGTCTCCCCATTCCTTGAGCTGCTCTGAATTAGCCCTTACAAAATCTTCAGACGCGGCAGCCGAGTTTTGTTGGCCCTCTTCCAGGAAGGGCAGCATTCAAGTGGTGTCTAATAAACTGGTGTTTAATATGTTTGATTATACAACCCATTGCAATTATTTATTATTTTTTTATTGAGCTTTCAAGCCATATGCATCGACTTCCACTTTTTCTCACCTCTGAAGCTTCGTTTCCTTACAAACCAGGCTAATGTTGTCAGCTCACATGTGCTTGTCTGGCTGTCACTGCTGTTCCTACCCTCCCAGTAGCTTCTGAACTCATCAACCGATTTCAGCCTAGCTTGACACAAAGATAGGAATCCATGAGATACCAAGTACCTTCAGCAGGCAGCCTGATGGAGGAAAAAGCCCTATTTGTATAGCCAAGAAAGGAAAAGTTTCTGTAGGAGTTTCATCTGCCAAAACACAACACTACATAAAATTAGACACTAATTCATAGAAAATCTGACTATATTAAAAAGGTCAACTACTCATGAATATTTCCCAAAACATACGAGGAACTTAAATGTTAAAACTAAAGAAATTAATTACAAAATATTAGGCCAAAAGACCATTATGGTTATTTGTTTATATAAGTCAAAGGAAGAAAACATCAAAACCAGATGATTGTTCAACCTTAACTCTATTGACTTATATACACTTTAAAACACATACATTAATTACAGGTATGGTTACCACTTTTCTAATACTGGAATAAAATTAATATTTTAACATATGGGTATTGTTGCATATCATTTTATCATTCTTTGTAGCACCATGATGATATTTGACAAAGTATTTGGAAAAGTATAATAACTTGTTTATAGGCAGTGTACTATATTTATGTTAAGTTTAATAAGCATAATAGTGAAAAGATGGTCATGCACCTGGGGTAAAGAATGGAATTCATGAATTATTGATAATATTTTGTTAACTGTTCTGGTTTACATTTGTGCATTTGTAATTTTTAACATTTTTACAACTTTCAAAGTAAGAAGTTTTTATACTGTGCACACTTTTAGTAAGGAAAGAGATTGAAACGAATTTGGGGAAAGTTACTTTTTATGGATGTTTGATGTAGTATTTATGAAAAGGCTTTGTTTTTGCTTCTTTTGTTTTATAAGATTACAGTCAGGGCATGTGGAAAAAATAGGTTGTGTATAAAAGGCCATCATAAAAACACTAGTAGCAATTAAAAAAATTGTTAATATGTTTTTGTTATGACTCATAATCTTTACATAGAAGTCCCTAAACAGGGCTGTAATTTGCCATGCTTATCTATTTTAAGTAGTATTTTGTAACCATTTTAGTGTTTTGCAAGTAAGTTCCTTGGTTTCAGATAAAACCAAAGGGATTACATGGGCAATCCAAATGGCAAAACCTGTAGCCTGCCGGTCAGAGGCATCCATGTCTCCTCGGGAGAGGTGGGGACCCCTGGTACGTGTACAGGGAGAGGCTGAAATGTGCACCGCGCCTCAACATCTCTCTCAGAAGGCTTTTCACAGATAGGTAATGCGGGTTTTTATGTAATAAACTATTTTTTTTTTTTTTTTTGGTGCTTGATTATCCCATTCAGCACTTAAGAGGGAAGGCTGGCTCTTCTGTAGGACATAGTAGCTTGAGCTGTTTGGTTTTCTCTCTGTGCCCCATCTTCTTTTTTTTTTTTTTTCATTTTTAAATTACATGGTTATTATCTGTGAAAATCATCAGTGGTGGAATAGCTGATAGCAAAATGCTATCATTGGGCTCTAGAGCTAATAGCCAAATGAGATAAGCAGGGAGCAAGAAGTTAAATCTGTTACTGTTCCTGCGCCTGCCTGCAGCTTCAGATGGTGTAACATCAGCTACTCTCCACTCATGTAGGGAAGGATGCCGCTGTGGCTGGCCAGTTACAAATTAAAAGCTGTAAAAAGTCATAACTGGGAGAGGGGGGATGTCAACTTGCACTGAAGACTTAAGTCAGGCCTATAGCCTGTATGTTTTCAGTGATCTTCCTTACAAAACAGAAGACACACTTTGAAAAAAGAAAAGAAAGGGGGAGGGGCAAAACCCAGCTAAATAAACAACAAAAAAAACCCCAAACAAAACCAATAAAGCCAAACAAAAAAAAAAACAAACCCAACAAACAAGTTCACAAAGCGGGAGTCTCCCCGTTCTAAGTTAAGGGAGCAGCCTAAACAGAAAGATATGCTTACATAGGATGCAAGTTCAAGGTTTGTTGTAACGTAAATGTAGGGTTTTTTTCTATTTGGAAGTAAGTGTGCTCATGTCAGTGTACAGAAAGGCTTCTATATGAATGAACAAGGGACCAGAATCAAGGCTGAATAAGCTCAATTAACATTAATATTTTATGTAATTGGGTAAGGGAAATTTAATCTTTCCAGCAACCTGTCACCCGACCGGCCACGTAGCACACAGTCACTATATCCAACAGGGGGAGGTAGCTGGGAAGCTTTTTTTGATACTCAGATACATGTTGCTATTGAATACAAATCCAAATTGCCAACATAAAACTCTAAGAGCCTGATATACTGCTAAATGGTACAATGATAAGGGATTGCTTCACACTTTGGTGTTCTGGGAGTGTTTGGAGCTTGGATATGGTCAGATACAGCCACGTACAGGAGAAACGCAGTCTTCAGTGTATGGGTCTGGGTATCTTGATGATTGGAGCCCGGTAGTACTCTGTGGCCTCTCGAGGTTGGGAACTGCAAACAGTCAACCCCTGGTTGGATTGGGGCCAAAAAACGTCATTTTAAAGGAATTGGTGCTGTGATTTGTTAATTAAATCACACCCACACACGTAAGTCCGCAGGCAAACCAACAAAATAAATACAATCCAGAACTTCCTTGCTAAGGGCTTTTCTCGTTGCTTTAGCTGGAGTGGAAATGGTGGTAGAGTATGTCTGTACAGGGTTGACAAATATTTTTCTAAGTTTGGACTAGGAGCTTTCTTGCAAACCGCCCACTCTCCTTGCTGGATCAGGGTGGGCTGGAGCCAGCTGGCGCCAGCCCAGGGAACCGGTGCACCGGGTCAAGCGGGAGATGCTCTGATTCAGCAGAGGCTGGAGCTCATCGACGTACAGCTCGTCTCCCCTTCTGCTTATTCGCCTCCAAGAGCAAAAACTCCCTCTTGGGGTACTGGGCACACTGGGCTTAGAGCGTGTTCCAGCCACGTTGAGCTTAGCCTGTGTTGGGGAGGGAGTTGCTGCTCTCATAGCTGCACGCTTAGGTCGCTGGCTAAACTAGACACCTAAGTTTAGGCAACTAAATAGTGCTGTTGAGCTGATAAAACTGCTCACATGCCTGGCATCGGCACGCTTTCGATTACCTCGTTGAACCAGAGACGATGCATGTCGCATCTTGGTTTTTGCAGCATAATTTTTTTTTTTTCTTCTGAAGTTTCCTTTGCACTCTTGCTTTGCCTAAAATAGGTTTATTTTGGGAAGCACAAATGTAAATGGAGTAGAGGATACCAAGTATTACTGTATTAGGTATACTATAGAGGAAGGTTGATTCATCAATTTCTTGATCTTCTTTACTCCATTTGCTTAGGATATTTGATTTTTCTATTACCGGTAAAAAAATAGAAGCTTCTTATTTCAGAAGGGGCTATGAGCACTTCTTTATTACTAGTGAAATGTAGTGTATGCTTTAATGAGCAAAATAGCTACTATCTGTCCAAAACGCATATATTCATTGTGCAATCAGTAGTTTCATACGTAAAATTAATCCTTAAATGGTGCCAGGAGTATTAAAGTGTGTAATTGTTATTATTTAAATGCCTTGAATTTATTTGGAACAGTCACATTTTTCTTGTATATATTTTCATTTTGTTTTCATAATCTACACTTTTAAGACACCCAGCAGTTACGCCATATACGGTTATACACGTCTTAGCTGCTTTTTAATTTATTCCTGTATAATCCAGTATTATTAAATTCTGCGGACTAAGGAACTGATCTTGTTGATTAAAATCAATAGATGCAGTGTTGCTCTGTGTGTGTGGTGTGGTGCTTTTTGTGTTCTTTTTTCTTTGTAGGATCCATCCTTCAGCATACAGCCAACTGATATATAAAGGGTCTGATCCTTTAGGCTTTACTCAGGGAAATATCCACTGATGTCAATGCCTGAATAGGATCAGTCACTTAAAAGCAAAGTTTATTTGAAATTGCTCTAGCTATTGTTATTTCCTTCTGGAGAAAAATAATCTTGCTCATCAAAGCTTTAGAAACAGCATCAAGAAACACCAACTTCAGCAGGTCTTTCAACCATGAGACGTCAGCCATCACTGTTTTAAAGCATAGCCTGGTACCTACCAGTGACCGCTCAACCATCTCGTTTCTTTCTCGTCTTTATTTATTTTTGTACTCCAACTCTTATTGGCATCTAAAATCACTAATCTCTACCCATTACCATTTTTGCTAATTTACAGTGATAACTGTGGCTCTGTTTTCATTAGGAGATGAAAGCCGGGAAATTAAAAAACAAATTACAGGGATGAGAAGATTACTGAATGACAGCACTGGAAGAATCTATCAACGAGTTGGCAAAGAAGGAGAAAAACTGAAGGAGGAGCCCCAAGATTTAGACTTAGCCTGGGCCCAGCGCCTGAATTCCCCTGCAGAGTCCCAGGCGAGCCTTCATCCTTCACAGAGCGGTGCATGGAATGAATTATCACCCCAAGCTAGCCATTTTTCGGGGCAATACGGAACTCGATCCAAAACGTTCCAAAATCAAACGCGAACTGTGGCATCCAATGGTATGATCTGCATTAGATATTGAGAATAGTACTTTTTTTTCTCTCCTTGTAATGTACTAAATTTCTACCTTTGTTGTGATGATTTATTGTACTGCTGCACTGAAATCAGTTATAGTTGAGAGTCTACAAAAATGAGCACATAGTTATCACTTTGAAAAGGTGCGAAAGTGGGCACAGTGCATTCTGCTACCATCTGTCTTAGCTTTTAAAATGGATTCCTGGTGATAGGACAGAATTACTCAGTGCTGTTACAGGCTTAATTTCTATACAGTACTTATTAAAACAGCTTTTGCCATTGTTATTAAATTCATAGCTAATTAAATGTCAACCTCTACCACTCCTCTCTGCAATGAGTAATGTAGCACTGTTGTGACACCACTTGCGGAGCAGGATTCTACTGACTTTCATAAGGGGATGGCATCAGCCTTATAACTGGCCGATGAACTTCAAGTACAAAATCCCATCACAGCCTGAGGCTTTTATTATGATGGGACCGTGGCAGAAAAGGGATGATGGAGTCTACCTATGAACAGCATGTGCTAGAGCATGGTCCATCTTGTGCTGGCAGAGAATTCTGCCCTGAAGTAGAATGGCAGTGTGCCCTAAAAATGCTTTTCTCTTGTTGTTTTAAGTCTCAGAAAATGGAGGTTTTGCTGCCAGATTCCTGAAAGTCTTCCTTAACACTCTGAATGTAATTCAGAAAGTTTTTCTCCTGATACGCAACCCTAAGCTTAGAGGGGATTTTATTTTAAAGGGGTACCTCAGTTGTAAATTGTGGAAAATAAAAAATTGTGAAATTTCATCTGAAAATATTATCGATTTCCAATTTCCAGTTGATTCTGAAGGTATTCATGCTTCTCAATAGGGGCATCTGTTACGTGTCCTTCTCTAAAGGCATACAAGTTCTCATTGCTTGTAACAGATAACACCACCACCACCCCCCCAAACTATTGTTATTCTCAGTACTGTCCTGTACTGTCACTGCACGAAAAAACACACAGCCCTAAGTTTCACCGGACTGACTGTTTCTCTGTAGAGACAAAGATTCACACAGATGTACCAGGTGACCTGGAGAAAGATGTTGCAGTAGGTCATACTAGTTTTATTTATTTTATAATACAAAAAAATATTTGTGGGGTTTTAAAAAGATGCAGATCCAAGGGAGAGGGGAAAATATCTGATAGGACTTAATATCCAAATCTAAAACTATGCTCTCAAAATCCCACCATAACAATTTTCTATAGGTGGAAGGACCCAAAATGCATCACACATCTCCTTCTTTGCCCTGAGAGTCCCTGGGCACCAGCAGGGACAGTTCTCTGCATGCACAGAAGTGTCCAAGCCTGCACAGATTAGGTGCCTAGTTCCTGGATCCAGAAAGTAGGTGGAGCAGCACCTCTATCCCCTCAGGGGCCTGATTCAGCATGTGAGCTAAAACGTGTTGACAGGATTTGGTCCTGTATGCAAAAAAAAAGTCAGCATTTTAATTTTTCATACAAGGAGGAAAGGTTTGGCTGACTTATGATCTCCTACAGGTTAGAATGGTGTGTGAGACAGTAGAAGGGTTGGGTTGAGCAACCTCTGGGCTGGTCAGGAGGAACGTCCAAGCTCCCAGCTCTTGGGGCAGTGCACCAGGAGGCACTTTCCACCCCTCCCTCTGCAGCTGTCTTACTGCAGAAAGGAATGCAGTCTTTTAGGTTATTACATAAAGATGGGTGTGGGCACTCTCCTCTGGCCACCTTTGAAAAGATGACATGTGTAGACCTTTGAGAGCAAGATTTTGAGTCTCTGCCTCCAGTGGGGTGTTGTGATCCTGCCAGACAGTTTTGCTGCTTTGGCTCCAAAGCCTGGTTTTTAGGAAAGGAAGACTTTTTATGTGTTTCTGGGCTGTGAGCAATCTCTGAAACTGCTCCTCACCCGGCACGCAGCTCTTCTGGGCAGCTGTTCTAACATGCTCAATTTGCCCCATCCCTTCCGTTGGGAGCCTGAGTATCTAACTCAGTATTTTAGATGTTATTCGGAGGATGGAAAAAGTCCTTAAAAGCTGGCTGTAGAAATATCAAAGGAGATGCTACTCCTTCGTGCTTACCGTGGTGTTTAAACTCATCTGAGCAAAACTGTTCAGGTAGGACATAAGCTTATTGCCTGAGGCTGTCAGGCCTAGATCCTCACTGAGGAGATGTCCAGGTATCTATAGCAGGCGATCTGAGTCCAGAAACTGCTTCTGTCCATTGGATAGATAGCGTATAGGAAGCCAAGATCTATGTTGTAGGTTGTGTGAATTACTCAAATTTGAATGTAATAGGCATCTAAGTCCATCTAACTAGCATAGTTATCTACTCGCATGGGAAAGGTGGTTCGAGGAGAGGCTGGAATGGATATTTATTAGGTGTAGAAAGCAGTCATGAAAAAGGTATTGGCAAAAATAGAGAAAAGCAAAAGCAAATTCAGCAGTGATGCGGCAGCTGAATTGCTTTTTGGTTATGTTGAGATCGTTTTCAATGGATTGCACTTGCATGCTTTTCAGATGTAAACTTGTGGTAGCAATGTTACACCAGGTGAATTCACTCTCAGCAGATCCAGCTGCAAGAACTGCTGTCCTGGGCTACTTGCTGCTCACACAGGTGAAGCAACTAATGCGTTTGTGTCCTCTCCTCTCAGTCACAGAAGCCGGTATCAAATTTGCCTGCTGGCTAGCTTCCAAAAGAGAGGGAGATGGCTCTTTAAAGACTCCTTCATAAAAATAAAAAGTCTGTTCTCCTTTTAAAATTAAAAATTGATTTATAACAAGTTGAAAAGGGTTGCTTTTGTCCTCTAAAAATGATAAAGATAGTGCTTGGAACAATGACTGAGAACACTCTACAAGATGTTTCTTACAACACAGTAACTGATCAGAAGAGGGAGGATAGAAAGAAAATAAAAAACCCCCATGAATATGTATGAAGTCAGTAGAATCCTGCTTTGATTTGAAATATTGGTGGTCTCTTTTCCCGTTTCCAGTACCTATGGTAGATTTACATGGGTAATTTCTATCAATGCTAATGGGGATTATAATGTAAATCCCCATGCCTCAATGGGAAAATAGACCCTTTGGTTTTCCATCAGGAGTCTGTGTGCCTGTGTGCTTTCATTAGGAACGTGTTATATTGCAATGGGAAAGATGTACAGGTATTTACTGATACAATTTGTCCAAGTTTTCACGTGCAGTTCACCACAATGTAGAGTCTTTGTTAAAAAGCAAACAAAAGCCACCAGCCCTGTCTCCTGCTGTAGTCTTTCAGATATTATTTCCAGAAGCCCACTAGAATATTGGGTTCTGATCAAGAGAAAGGACAGGCTTTATCCCAAGGAGCTTATTAGTCTAAAACTGAGAAAACACTGGAGGAAAGATGTTCTTACTATGTATTTGTCTTCTAGTAATAAAACTCTCCTCATTTCGTGGGACTCCATTTCTGGGGTACCTGCTTGTCTTACTGAAAGGTATGGAGGTATGCTGATGCTATTCAATTATAAGTAGTCTTGAACCTCATCTACTTAAAAGTCTACCTTTAACAAGTAGGTAAAGGGTATTGGTGGAGCCAAGTTGAGGGATTCTGAGTAATCTGCTGCAAAGCCAAAGATAACATTATTTTTTTTCCCTCTGTACCTGTAACAATGGGCTAAACACTTTATGGACCATTGAAAAGATAAAATCCCATCCATGCCCCAAGGAACTTTTAGTCTGAATAGACAGCGTACAAAGGAAGGGTGAGATCAAGCTAGGCAGAGTCCTGCTGAGTCAGTAACCTGTTTTTTTGTTTTAATTTGAGACTCTCAGCCTTTTTTTCAGATCGCTTTTTACTTTTAAGAAGTTGTAGTTACAGCTAAAGAAGCTAGCGGAACTATTGCATTCGTATTTGCTAGATTTGCAGAGATTCTTAAGTTACTCCATTTATTTTAATGCGGCATTAACAGTTTCTGCCCATGAGTGATATTTTAAAATACAAAAATTTGTAATTGCAGTAGTGTGGGCAGTCTAAATATCTGAGGAAAGCAGGAGAGCAACACCAATAAGATGTCAACAATGTTTAAGTGGCACATCCGTTTAGCTTCACAAGTGACTCACTTTTGGGAGAATGACCACCAGTTTACTCAAGCCCGATGAGATGTTGCTTCAGAGGTGAAGGACTGAATGGAAGGAGGCAGAGAACAAGTACCTGGGAAGGGAGTTTTGAGGATGGAGAGACACACTGGAAGAACTAGGAAAGGATGAGGTGATTTAGTGGTGGCCAGATTTTCAGCCATTTCAAATAAGGATTGAAGTCAGGGGATCTGTGTGGGTCTGACATCAGGAGAGTTCTGATGAAAGAATGCAAATGAAACCTAAAAAGGTATTAATAAACTGGTTTGGCTTCAGAGGAAAGCAAAAGTAATAATGAAAAATGGGAGGATTTATGAGCGAAGATTAAATGAGTTGCTTATGTTCACTTTAGCTAGGTAAGGATTAAAGGGCACCTGATAACTGTCAGGCTATGGAAGAAAAAGGGAAATACGCTCTCTGAAGTCCACCACATGTGACACCAAGCAAGGTGATTTTTGTTAGATCCATTTGTACCTGTCTTCATAAAATGATCATCCCTCCTTTTGCATGCTTTGATGAGCAGTAAAATAGCCATCAATTTAAAAGAGGGTAAGCACGTCTTGAAATGAAGGGGGGGCCATCCTATCTGGTCTCAGTTTCAAGCTGATATTGCTAGGTGTTTTGTTGAATTTTGAATTTTTTATTTGCAGCATTACAGCTAGGGATACAGCTGTTTTAAACTAAAGCACAGGGTACAACTGTTTAGGTAAAGCTTGAAATCTCTGAACAGCCTGTACTAATTCAAGACCTTCGGTACAAATTTTCTGGAAAGGCAGGCAGTAATAAAAGTACTGCAAAGGGCTAGAGCTAAATGTTAATTCAGTTAAATGCAAGTAAGAGTTATTAGAAAAGAAGAGTCTGTTAAACTACTATATTAGTTTTCAAAGGGAAACTATGGAAAGCCCATCTCATAGGTCACAGTGCTGGAAAACATGCCGTAGAAAACAATCCCACCCTAGCAAACATAAGAGCATATTTGAAGGCTTTCCCTGCTGGTGGTTCTTTTCCATCCCGTTTTTTTTTTTTTCTCCAGATAGGCTATTTTATTTTTATTCTCAATTCTTCACATGGTGAAGAATCACATGTAACATTCAAGCAGTTTAAAAATTCTTAGACCCTCATTTAATGTGCAGTATAAACCTTTATTACGCAGACTGTCTTCATTCTTTGTAAGACTGTTCCGGGAGATGGACTTTTTTTGTATGTCTGTGTGATAAAGTGAGTATGTTTATAATGAGGTTTGGTGCTATTGTTATTCAAGATGAACTAGCCTGACAATAGAGAGCCCTGCTGTGAAGAGTGCATTGTATTCACGCTCTTAGCAGTCTTCTCCAGCCCATGTAACATTGCATCCCCTACTGTATCTAATTGCACATACTAGTAATTGGATAAAACCTAGTGGCCCCTTCCTCTTAAAAGAGATCACGTTGAAAATTACTTGCTTTCTTGCTTTGGATCTAATTTCCCAATCAGGTGTAGTGATCATGGTTTCAAAAGCCTGCTGGTCATTGTTGTTTGAGTGTTTTTGTGTGCGTTACATTGTCTCTCCCCTGTTTCGTTCCTCTTCCTTCAGGAGAAATCCCAATGGTGAATTCATCAATTGGACCAAACTGCTGTACGTGTAATTGCCAGTCAACCCTGCAGGCTATTCTTCAAGAGCTCAAGACCATGCGAAAATTAATGCAGATTCAAGCAGGTACTATGACTGGTCCCACACATGCATATCTATGACAAGCATCTAGTTGAAAATGTCCCTGCTCATTGCAGGGGGTTTGGACTAGATGATCTTTGGAGGTCCCTTCAAACCCAAGCTATGCTATGATTCTATGATCTTGTTAGGAGAAATGGTCTAGTAAGACAGAAATCTATGTGAAGACTCAGAAAAAACTGCTGTCTTTAACATATCATTCAAAGTCAGTTTTTCACAGGCTTCTTGGAAATGAAGTTTTCACTTCTCAGATCCTTACCTGTAACATCAGATGTTATCTTGTAGTAATCTTTTCAGGCTAAAATAATAAAAAAAAAAATCTAATGTGATTAGATACTCTAGTAATAGTAGCTGGGTCAGTAGGTCAATATGGCATAACCACCCCCAGTTTGTTTTCACGGTGTATTCATTCAGAGGTGCAAAATGCTACTTTACCTGTTACTTGCTACCAGTTCAGTAATCTTAGCGGTAAAAAAAAAAAATAATTGGAAGGCCACTTGAAGTTATTGTATAACACTTCATTCAAAGATCTTTCAAATTACAGTTCTGTGGCCTCAACTGAGCTAGCTGTTGCATGTTGTGGCCTCCACCCTTCTTCAGGCTGGTTTACCAGTTCTTTCTACTGGCTGAACCAGCAATAATCTGTTCATTGGGGAAAACTATCAGGGCTAGTTTTTCTGCTAGGTTAGGAGCTGAAACAGAACAGTGCAGAGCCAGAAGAGCATTAGAGCCAGCAAGATCATGAGACCATGGCAGCTGGAAGTTAGGTAGGTCGTGGTAGGCTGCTGTGAAGCTGCAGCCTCTGTGCTTCATAAAAATTAGTGATAACACTAATGAGGAGTTGGAGACGTTGGAGGTTTTGTCAGTTGAGTTGCCCATCCATCATGAGTGATGGGAAGTGGAGTCATGGAGATTTTTTTTTCTTAGAGTGGCTGGGTAGGACCTCTGTAAGAAAAGGGAGTGTTGAGTAATTAACTGAAATATGGGTGGAGTGAAGGGCTGACGAAACTCCTTGTCTCCACAGCTTATAATGCTTGAGTGAGCAATGGGAAGGATCAGACCGGTTTTGTAATATCAGTTGATACACATAAAAATGCTATTCAAGAAGTCATCGGTTTACAAATAAGCACACACAGGCCCGGTTTTACAGTGAATTCTTTATGCAGTTGCACTGATTTCATTGAAATTACGTGCATGATTAAAAGTGGCTTGTGGGTGAGAGGTACAGAACTGGGGTTTATGCCAGAAAAGCTGGCTCCTCAATAGCAGGAACATTTCTTATTTATTATGTATCACGTATCTACAGTATTAGTACCTTGTTAATTAGCAAATCTCTTGATTCACTGGGAATAGTTCAGGTTTTCTGGTAGGCATGAAATGATGGTTTTGCTCAGAAAAAAAATTGCTGGCATTTTTGTTGCTAAAAGAAGACATCTAAAATGCAAACATATAAGTGAAAGTGTAATAACTCATTTTAGTATTCAAGCACCCTTCTGTCTAAATGATAAACTAAAAATTACAGTCTTGTAAATCCTTGTCAGAAATTAAATACCCCAGAAATCATTTAATAAACAGTATTATAAGATTTGGTTTTTTTCCTCAAGCTTTGTAGATGAGGACCATGTGTAGTTCACTTGTTGCTCGAATGAGTTTGATTTGTATGTGGTGAAACAAAAATGTGTAGTGCTTTTGGCTTTTTTTTGTTTTGACCTTGATTTTACTGATTCATGCAGACAAATAATCACATCTGTGTAGCATTCTGCTGGAGGACTCATTCACATTGATAAAGGTTCAGGATTGGTGCCTTAATTTACACCAATTATTGTGGATACCAGAAAATGCAAAATATTGATAAATCTAAAACATGGTCTCTTAGGTTTGAGTTGTAATACATGAACTGTCAGCTTCTGTATGAGCAAAACAAAGTGATGCAACTTTGGGTTACTTTTTTCCCAGAAGTTAAACTATTGAATAGTGTTTTCACTCATTCTTGACATAATGGTACTTGAAATGTTCTTGCTGAGCTAATTAACTTGGTAACTACATTCATAAAAATAACTATAATTGCATTAGCACTTGTATTATCTTACTTTATCAGGAAGAGATGCTCAAAGACAATGAGATTCTCAGTCATTCAAGAGGATATACAAATTAATCATTGCTTAAGTCCTTTGCATCACCAACCATCCAGTGGTCCCTAGGAAAAAAACCCATGTATTCCTAATTTTCCAAAAATGCTATTTATCAGTATGTCTTGAAAAACCTCATAGTGGAGCTCAGTGTCATTATCCCCATCGTACAGATTGGAAAATTATGCAAAGGTGATAAAATGTAACTGTTTCACATGCACAAACAGCCCTGAAAACCGTACCGCTTATCCAGAAGATAAGTTCAGTATGTCAGTAGTTTAACGGTGCGTCTGTGTTACACATGTGCTTTTTTCTATAAATTTAATTCATTACTTTCTTTCATTCAGTTGGGACTCAAAACAGACAGCAGCCTCCTGTTCCTCTCATTTGTGCGCAGAAGTCAACAATATCAAGAAAGAGAAATAAAAAGAAAAAACTGCCCCTCAAAACTATTGAACCAATTTCCATGAATAAGAAACCCGGCGCTGCAGAGAATGAAAAGAAGCTATCAGCAAACTCGGAACGATCAAGTCTGCAAGCAGTTGAACCCCCCCTAAAACCAGAAACCCCTGTTTCAGGATTTGGAATTATCCTTGAATCTGCTTCATCGGATGTAAGTTAATATTTTAATACCTGGGATCACAGGATTTTAAAGCACTTCCTCATTCAGGAGAATCAGCACTCAAGTCAGCTTGAGTGTGTTCCCTCTCCTTGTTAGAATAAACAAGCAAATCTTGGACCGGGTTGAATGGATACAATAGGGTTAGTTGTGAGGAGTGCTGATTACAAAGTGTTGGGGTTTTTTTTCCAACTGATTGCTGATTACAAAATGTTGGGGTTTTTTTTCCCAACTTCCATGAGCATGTAGTTCTCCCTTGAGTTCAAGGCTGCCTGTTGTTTGAGCTTGCCGTGGAAACTTGTTCTTCCTCCCTCCTGTTGCCAAGACCCACCATGAGATCAGGAGCCATGAAAAGTGCTGTGTGTATAAAGCGTTCACAACCCTGTCATTTGCTGATGAGCGCACGTAGTCCCCACGTATGCCCTTATCCTGCCAAAATGTGTTTACATACTGTGTTTCATGCCTGGCTGGTCCCAGTGGCTTCAGGGGACTCCTCACCTCTTTAAAGTTCATACCTCAGTCTTTGCTGAATCGGGTCGTTTGGTCTTCATCACTGTGGTTGCTGGATGAGAGCCTTGAGGTTGTTGATGATGTCAGTGTATCTAAAGGGGCCAAAATTTGCCACTCTCAAAATATGTACTTGTCGCATGTAAAATTGCAATAAGCATATTTTCTTGTTTCATGCAACATGTACGCATTGATAGAAATGTCATGTATGTGGTGGCTGGCTGGCTTTGTTTAATGACCAAATAGATGTTGTCTGAACCAGTTCACTGATGAGTAAACTGATCATTAATTTCTCTAATATGTTTTTAATTTTGAGCAGGCAGTTTCCAATTTCCTAACTACTATGAGCTAGAAAAACATAATTAAATTCAGTATCAATAAGCGTAAATGAAAACAATGCAGCAGATAATGTTCTACCTTTCTGGAAGTGGGAACTAATAATAAAAAAGAGCAGTCATGATAATTCAGTTATATAGATGCAAGCCACACCACTAATTAGATTACAGTCTCATGCCATAGAGTCAGGGTAGTGATACAAAGTAGCAAGTTCGATGCTTTTTCAGAGGTTTTCCTTTTGTAGTATTATTCTTAATAATGTTTGAGGGAATGGTTTGGGGAGGGACTGGTAATCTATCTCCAATACGCAATTTGTGCTTATAATTTTTCTTTGCTTGTGGCACTCTTTTCAGCTTGAAACAGTTTCAAAACCAGTTTTGTACTTGTGGTGGAATTTAATTTGTCTTTATGAATGTGTTCCATCGCTGGACACAATTCTTCGTAGATGCCAATTTGACCTAAGCAAAAAAAGAAGAGAAAACATGTGGCTCATAAATCAGGTCCTCATCTGCCCTCCCATGCTCTGGCCCCTGCTTGCCACAGTAGTTGTTTCACTAAATTTACAGAGCCAGAACCCTGAGACAAACAAATTGATGTTGTTTTGTCTTTGGAAAGAAAACAGTTGAGTTCTGAAAATAGATATATTTAACAGCAAAAATAAAATGTGACCTTAAATATTTTGAGAAGGCTAAAGAAAGTCACTTCTTTGAGAATGAATGGCAGTATTATCTTTTTCTATTTATTCATAAGCATCTTTAGTGTGCTCATGACCAGTGTGTCTAAGTGCCTGAAAAAACTGAAAGACATTTTACACAACACCATAAATGAATGTTCCCTTGAGAATATCGCATGGGTTGTCTGTAGTGTGTGCTGTGGCGTACGCCAGGACTACCACTGCTGCTATTTTGCCAACGTTTATTGAACTTAAAGAAAAATCTCCATTTAATGTGTATAAAATTGGGGCTACTGAAACCAGTGCAATTAGTTCAGATCTGCTGACGTGTGGACGTGGATGTGGAAGAAGTCTTTGTGAGATCAACTCTTAATCTTGCCCATGAATCAGAGAACCTACTTTTTAAATGCAATGATCTGTTACGCTTAGTTAAACTTTCTTGTGTTTGTTTTACTGTTATAATATTTCATTTATAACCTAATTATTTCTAATCTATGTAGTACAACCTACTAAAATGTCTAGGATTTGTCACTGCCTGTTAATTTTAGCACAGCAAAAGCTTTTGGCATTCAGGTCTTATTTATTTTATTGTACATGAACAGTTTACCCACCAATTCCTTGTGCCATGATCATTATCTACTAACATACTTTCCCTTTTGAGAAATTGCATTGAAAGTGATCATAAAGTTCAATTGGATACTGATTGATTGTCTTTGATTGAAGAATAGTTTGCTACCAAAGGAAAGCAAGAATAAATCAGTTTTCCCTTTGAATTATTTCATTGATACACAAATTGATTCTTATATTAAGAATAAAATAGCCAAAACTAAAATAATATTGACTCCTCCGTGCTGGTGAGGTTTCAATGTATTTTACAGCTGTGTGAGTGAAGATAATTTGTCTGTCCTGGGCGTCTTGTATCATCGAGGTCATCTTAGATTGCCATCGTAAGACCCAAGACCCAAGTAAGAGAATAGGACAGGAGACCTTCATCACCATGACAACTACATTCTGGTTTTGTATTAACATGAAGTAGAATTTTTGCCAAGTTATAAACTTAGCCCACATTTATTTACACTTGAAAATCTTTTCTGTCAATGGGAAGTTTAGAAGTAACATACTAAAAACTCACCTGTATCAGAAGATTGTCAAATGTCAAATAGAATTAACTCTGACTGCTTTGCTGGATCCAGCAGTTTGAAAGTTCTCAAGGTAAAAAACAACTTTTCATCCAGAACAAGCTGAGAAACGTATATGCTTTTAAATATTTTTTTATTATTACTCTCTGCATATTTTAAGATTCTTTGTCCTGGCTTCCCAAAGCTTTGTAATCTTCAGTTTTATCGCACAATATGCATGCATGTCCATGATACTATATGCTTTGAAAACATTCTGCTTGCTGTGACTTTCTTGATACTTATTTTTAAAAATCCATGGGAAAAGAGCTATGCAGCCAAATCCTTCTGAGAATGACAGCCCTTTCTTCTGTCTAGACTGAAGACTTTTGCAGGTGATTTGATGGGAGGTGGCATTTGCTCTTGCTCTGTAAACATCTTTGAAAACGCACCATCACTGGTGGATGTATTTTCATTAGGGGGAAAAAAAGAGCAAGTTATTAGGAGCAAGGCTGTAATGTCAGCTTATTTTCTTACATCATGACCACTGATTTTTTCCCCCTTTTCCAACTCCAGATGTCTTAAAAATTTTAGTTTATTCATGATGTATCTTCATTCTAGATATATTATTACTCCATACAGACATCTTGTGTAAGCACTGTGTGGTAATCACAGACGAAAATATTGTTTGTGTAATTTCTGATATGTACAGACAGGGGCAGCAGAAAGATTCTTAGTAAGGGGACTTCTTTGAAGGCCTTTGTCTGCTTTGGCCCACAGTGTACTTGAGGCAAGGAGGCTCTTGTGAAATACAGTATGATTTTGTTGCCTCTTCTTCCCCTCCATCTCACTTTCTAGCAGTCACGTAAATCCCTGTGATTTACCACTGAGGTTTTCTGTGCAGAAATAAGCTGTCTATCTAATATCATCCTTCTCTAAGGATGTATTTTGGGAATATGTAAAGGAGGGAGACATGGATTATCAGCAAGCACTTGGCTCCAAGGGCGACCGCAAACTCATCACCTACTTCTACTCGTATGGGCCATATCTGCACTGGAAGCCCTCTTGGGAAACCACATGGAATGGGCCGATAGCCCAGCAGTTGTCCTTCTTGGAAATGCCTGGCTGCCCCACAGTACGTCGTTCATATCATTTGTCAGTGAAACAAGTCCATAAAACAGTTAGATAAATGTCCAAAAAGCTTCACATAAGAGTACTGCTCTGGGATGATCCTCTGGTTTGCCATTATTATCCGATATTGAAAGGTATCTCTTTTCTTTTTGTTAGCGGTGCGCCTAGAAATAATGTCAGTAATTGTTAACTATTACAGTGGCTAGACATGAGTATGATTATTTGATTTGCCGTTTAAGGTGCTTATTCACTGATGGGGTTTGATTTCAATGAAGTAGGCTGCTGTGGTAGTGAATAGCTTGGAAAAGATTCATGGTTTGATTAAGTGATTGTAAAATCTCATCAGATGCATGATTGAAGTAAAGTAATGTATTTGAATGTTCTTTTAATTAAAACATTTGTGTTCTTTCGGTAGCCAGAAGTGCAACTTGCAGAAGGTTTTGACGTCTTCATGCCGAAATCTCAGCTGGACTCTATATTATCAAACTATACTCGCTCAGGAAGTCTGCTCTTTAGGAAGCTGGTCTGTGCATTTTTTGATGACAAGACTTTGGCTAACTCTTTACCAAACGGCAAAAGGAAAAGAGGGCTCAATGACAACCGGAAAGGACTAGACCAAAACATTGTGGGTGCAATAAAAGGTATGTTTTTTTGGTTTCTTTCATATGTGTAATTAGAACATATTCCCAGCTAAGGAGAGTGTAAGTGGATTAGAATTTCTGACGTGTGTTAGGTCTATTAAAATATGCAGTCTTATTTTTATTCCCTTTCATTCACTTGTTAAAAATAGCTTCTACAGGGACAGCTTGTGTTAATTTTAAGCCAATGATCTTGGTTTCTGAAGTCAGTCTCTAAGGTTAGAATCTCAGTGTTCATGTAAGATAATTATTTTTTTTTTTCCGGATATCAGAGTTGCAAAGAAATCTTGAAAACATAATGACAGCATAACTGATCCTCTTCAATCAAAATTCCGAGGCTTGCACTGTATCTGACTGTGTCTACTCTGTAAATACTTCAGTAGTTGGTGGCTGGATTGGGGAGAGATGGAGGAAGATATTGCTGGGACTGAGATGAGTTTGATGCTCATAAGAACTGTGGTGGTACTTCTCTTGTGGTAGCAAATTTCTCGATCGGTGTGAGGATCCTGTGCTGGGTGGTTTTTCTTAGTGATCACTGCTTTCTAGCTTCCAGAAGAACATATGTACCTTCAAACTCGGTGATTGCAACATATAAAGAGCTAGTATTAGGCCAGAGATTCTGAACTGGATTCTATTATTTTGAAACCTGATATAGTAGGGAAAATACACAAGTTACCAAAAGACAGGCAGTGTTGCAAAGTAGGGCTTATTTTAGAGGCTGTGACTCGTCCTGAGGTACAGATTGCTAACCCAGGAGACATAAGGCAACGAGAAGAGCTTCTATAAGTACATTGGCAGCAAAAGGAGGCAGGGGAACCTTTTACAACCGTGTCTGTGTCCACTTTTGACTCCTCTTCCCCATGCAAGAAAGACATTGACATACTGGCTTGAGTCCAGTGGAGGGCCACCACGACTTATGGTACGGAAGCAGGTTAAGTGATGAAGTATATATATGAAGTGACATGTGAAGAGAGGCTGAGAGAACTGGAGAGAAGAAGATTCAGGAGACACCCTATTGTTGTCCACAGTTACCTAATGGGATGGCGTAGACAAGATGGAGTCAGACTCTTCTCGGAGGCACAGGAGGCATTGGACACCTGGAAAATTTCAACGTGATAGAAGGAAAAGCTTTTTCAACATAAGGGTGATTGAACAGTGGAATAGGGGCTCAGAGGGGCTGCAGGATCTCCATCCCCGGAGATATTCAAAACTTGACTGGTCCAGAGCATCATGATCTAGTTGGCCATGCTTTGAGCAGCAGGCTGGACATTGAGACCTCCAGAGAACCCTTTCAACCTGTACAATTCTGCGATAAAGTGTATGTTGTGGCTATAGTTATAATGTGTCTTACAGAGTTTCTGGCAGACTTTCTTACAGTTATGCTTATAATTAGTTTTCAGTCACAAACACTTTTTTATACCTTCTTTTTTTGAGCTCAATAATCTGCAAAAATCCAAAGTTGAAATCACTCCATCTGTATCTTGTTCTTCCTTAAAAGCTTTAATAAATAAGTTAAATGGAAGAAAAAAGAAGTTAAAAATTACTTTTTTTAAAAAAAAAAACAACTCTAATTTGAGCAGCACTGTGGTAAAAGAAATGTTTTTCGGTGCTATTAAAATAACAATTACCCACTGCAGAGAGCAATGTTTCTCAGTAGCTAAGCTTATATTACTGGAGCAAATTCTGAGGCTTGCTTTAACCTCTTGCCTTGAGTTTGGAAGAAGAAATGGGGGAGTTGTAGTTCCAACAGACAAATTTCATCTGTGATGGTACAACTAGGTAGCACTGTAATAACAGTGATCTTTATTGGCATTTACAGTATTGCCCAAATGTTAGTGCCAGATCCCTGATAGGGGAGCCCGTTCCTAAAAGCTGGGATGGAATAAGATGCCAAGGACTGGTGTCCAGTGGATCTTTACTCAGCCTGGCTCCTATAGCACCCTTCTTCCCTCCAAAGAGCTGGGCTGTCGGACACTGTGGTTCCATTTATTACAAGAAATAACTGAGCCAGTATGAAATCTCCACAAGAACAACATCATGTTGTTTGCATTATTGTCATTAGGACATTCCTCTACCACGTGCCCAGATATCCTTTAGTGGCATTTTTAGTCCTTTTCCATGACAGAGATACAAAAGTGGAGAAAAGGCTACATTCATGACAAAAACGGGCAGAGAACTTAAAGGAGGGACTGTTTGCTTGAAAATCGCTCTTCCTGTCTGAAAACATTTTAACTGCCTTCCTTACAAGTAATTTAACGCTTCTGCAACAGGATGATTAGCTGGGGGAGAAATTGTCTCTTTTGACTTTGGGTATTCAATGGCACTTGTTGAATCAGTTGCAGTGTTTCTCCTGGGCAATCAGTTTCCCTTGTGAGTCTCATCAGTCTTTCACTCAGAACTGGGGGAAAAAAGATGAAAAAAATTATCAGAAGCAGATTTTTCCTTTATGCCAGGGACTAGAAATCCAGCCAGTGAAGTCCTTCCTTGCAGAAGTCAATGAGCTGTGATCAGATGCATGTGTGAAGCGTCCATCAGGGGTCCATACTGGAATCAATACTATTTAATATCTTCATCAACGCCAGTGGGATCGAGTGCACCCACAACAAGCTTGTGGATGACACCAAGCAGAGAGGTGCAGTTGATTCACTGGAGGGGAGGGATGCCATCCAGAGGGACCTTAACAGGCTTGGGGAGTCGGCCCATGCCAACCTCGTGAGGTTCACAACACAAAGTGCAGGGTCCTGCACCTGGGTCAGGGCAATCCTCAGCATCAGTACAGACTGGGGAACAAATGGGTTGAGAGCAGCCCTGCCAAGAAGGACTTGGGGGTGCTGGTGGGTGAAAAATTGGAGGTGAGCCAGCAATATGTGCTCAGCCCAGAAGTCCAATTGTACCCTGGGCTGCATCCCCAGCAGCGTGGCCAGCAGGGCGAGGGAGGGGAGTCTGCCCCTCTACTCTGCTCTGGTGGACCCCACCTGCAGTACTGCATCCAGCTCTGGAGCCCTCAGCACAGGAGAGACATGGACCTGTTGGAGCAGGTCCAGAGGAGGGCCACGAAGATGATCAGAGGGCTGGAGCACCTCTGCTATGAGAACAGGCTGAGAGAGCTGGGGTTGTTCAGCCTGGAGAAGAGAAGGCTCTAGGGAGACCTTATTGTGGCCTTTCAGTACTTAAACGGGGCTTATAGGAAATATGGGGACAGGCTTTTTACCAGGGCCTGTAGTGACAGGACAGGGGGCAATTGATTTGAACTGAAAGAGGATAGGTTTAGATTGGGACATAAAGAAGACTTTTTTACAGTGAGGGTGGTGGGACACTGGAACAGGTTGCTCAGGGGAGCTGTGGCTGCCCCATCATTGAAAGTGTTCAAGGGCAGGATGGATGGGGCTTTGAGCAACCTAATCTAGTTGAAGATGTCTCTGCCCATGGCAGGGGGGTTGGACTAGATGGTCTTTAATGCTTCCTTCAACTCAACGCGTTCTGTGATTCTGTGGTACTGGAGCTTGGTAGCATCGTACAGCTCAGGTGGACTAGAAAGGGGGAGTCGCACTTCTGCCTCCTTCCCATTCTTTTTTCCCATGTTGGTGTTTCCCTAACCATATATTGAGCAATCAAAGCTATTTTGACTTTCATTCAAGAGAAGAACAAGCGAGTTAGAAAAGAGAAGCAAGTTAACATATTGACTCTCAAAGGCTGCCAGACTCTGGCTTCATGTGCAGGAAACAGCGGACAGTAGTTGCATTTTCCACAGTGGCATCTGTGGTGGGTGGCCTCGGCACAGCCTGGTGTCACAGATTGTCCCCAGGCCCTGGTCACAAGCGGGAACTGCAGTTGCATGTTTGAAGTAAGCAGGAGTCTTAAGTTCCCATTGTTTCAGGTACCACATGGATTCAGAAGGAAAGATTATTTCTACCTTCAGAGAGACCATAGTTGTTGCAAATTGGACGATGCATGGGGCTGTATTGTCTTCTCAGGGAAGCCCTTAGAGTTGGTCTGATGTCCTTGCTGATCAGACTACAGATGAAAGTATCGCTAATGCCTTTCATGCAATGGTTTTGTGAAGTTGTTAACATGGCAGGAGTTTGGAAGGTGTGATTACTTTCGGTCCCTTTATACTTACCAGCTAGTGCTGTTTCAAACGTGTGTGTATAAAAATACTGAAATTGTCATTATTTTGTTGCATGCTTCCCCATCCCATTTGTGTGACATTTATTCTCAAGGATTACAAAGTCCTAGAGCTGGGACGAGTTTTCTTTCTTTGTTTGAGGGTCATAATTGGACACTGGGCTCTGAGACCTCTGACCAAGACTACAATAGCAATACTAACAGTAATAATATTTTTTCTATTTCTGCTCTCATTTATTTTTTGCACACCTGTCAGTTGTGTGATGAAAATCAACTGCATTAGTTTCACTCCATTTATAATTTTGTATTTTTGGTATAACATTGCTAGGTTTGCTGTAAATGTGGAATTAAAGATAATGTTGACCCTCTATGTCAACATATGTCAAAATATAAAACTGGACCTGTTGGCTACTCCTCTTTTCTCAATAATGGCTTCTTTTTTTTTTTTAGTATCTTCATAAAAATTCTGTTCCATCTGGTTTGGCAGTATGAGAACTGTAGAGATTTCTGCAGTGGTAGGACTTCTGTCTTTCATCAGTTTGCCTGCAGCCTTAGGAACCTGACCAAGAAGCCACCAAATGACCTGATCTTCAGCTCTCTGCTTGTACCATATGGAAGGCAGCATTTAAAAGTGCCTGCCACATCTGGAAACTCAGTTCAAAGTACACTAGCATTTTTCTGTGAGGTTTTAATGTGAAATTCATGAATGGAAAACGTCAGGTGTAGACCATTTCTCTGGATAGGCTTTTATAAGTAGTAACTATGGTATTACCATGCCAACAATGGGATATGCACAAATGACTTCTGAATGATAAACTTGTGAAACACTGAGTTAGACTCTGTTCTTGAAATCCTAGATTTGGCCATTTAAATGTCTTTTGATAAGTGGTTAATTTGATATATTTTGTTTATAATCCTCTCCAGTCTCCTTTTCTGCATTCTGGTGGCACATTTCAAAAAGATGGTATCTTTTTATTTCAGTCTTCACAGAAAAATACTGCACTGCTAACCATGTGGATAAACTTCCTGGTCCTAGGGACTGGGTCCAGATTCTTCAGGATCAAATTAAACTTGCAAGAAGACGATTAAAAAGAGGCTCAGGTATGTATAAAAATATAAGGAACAACACGAGAGTGTCATACTAAAAGCTTAGAGCCTTTGCATCCACAAAGTGTTTTTCTTGTTAACTGTGGAGTTGTACATGTTCACGCTATGAGGTTAGACCTCTAAGATTTTAGCAGGTTTCTATGTAAAGTACAGTGTTTCTGTATGTTTGGTATGGTAGCAAATATAGGAGCTGTCTTTCCTAAATTTTTGCTCATTTGAGTCTTTCTCAAATGTTGTCTCTAACCCCTTTCTGTTAGCACCCAAACTCTTCTTCCCAGTGTTTGATGAAATCTGAGTCCTAAACTAGCTGATCCATCCAGGGTTGCAGGTAGAAGTTTTTTAATTCTGTGTTATTTGGTCTGACCAGCTACTCACTGTACTGTTAAGACATAACCCAAATGACCTTTTCCTCTAAACTATATGTGTCTGGAAGGATAGATGAGTTTTCTCACATTCTGTGTGAAAGAATCAGCATCACTGTAGCCAAAAAAATAACCAACACCACCCACCCTAGTTGTGCCAGCAAGGTTCTGCAATACATGGGAGGGAGCTTGCCAGCAGTAACAGGTAGTGTTGGTAGAGTTTTCCAGCAAAGCTACTCAACTTGGGCTGGGATAACCTGCATGCTTGGGGCTGGGACCAGCCTGCGGAGAAGGCTCAGCGCTAAGCTTTCACCCCGACAGTACGCAGCTGGTCAGCTCTCCGCTCCAACGACGTACAGCAATGTGCAGTCTCGAAATCCCCGATAGAATTCATGGGAAAGCCATATCACTGATTAAGAGACATGTAATTACTTTATAAACCTTAAGTAGTCTCCTTCCCGTCTTCATGCCTCCTATCCTACAAGGAGCTTTCTTCATACAAGGCTTCAATTACTCTTCCTCATCCTAGTGTTTTCTTAAGGCTCTCTCATGGTCGTATTTCTTGCCCATCTCTCCCTCAGAGCATCTGACACCATTGTCTGAGGCACATCACTTGTGCCAACATCCTTAAACTGGTCCTTCACTGTTACCGTATTTAGCTGCTTGCCTTTTCCCCTCTTCCCTTCTGTCCATCACCACAATGAAGTGCCTGTTAGCATCCGTGGGTTGGCAGGATGGGAAACCTGATGGCTCCGCAGGGGATGCTGATGGTCACTGTGGCTACGGGGGGGTGAGCGAGACCACAGAGAATGCTCTCTCCAGCTCCCTGTTTCAGAGAGCCAAGGTTTTCTATCCAAAGCTGTGTCCCTGCAACACACACTTGGACAGGCATCTGAACTCATTCTCCAGAGCTCTGTTAACCCCAAGAGGGAAAAGCATAGGACTGAGAAAATGAGGAACACCCAGAGACAGAAATAAGACAGGGGGAGAAAGAAAGTGGAGATTATTCAGTCTTGTAAGCTTTCCCAAGTAGAGCAGCAAACCAGCGTTAGCCTTATAAAGGGTTTCTTATGCATGTTGGGGGAGGGAGGAGAGAGGCATACAAAATAATCCTGTTAAAGACAGTGTCAGATTACTGGTGTTGTACAACGGGAATGTTTTCTGCCCCTTCCAAGGCTGTCTGTTCCCCCCGCCAGGACAGGAGGGTGGATGGATGCCAGGCTTCAATAAGGTGAATAGTGCCGCGCAGGATGTGGGGAGCAAAGGGTCCTTGGACTATCTGCAGAAGATCCCTTGGGAAAGGGGATTGACCTAATTTTGTTTTGATTTTTATTTTCTTTCATCCTTTTTTATTTGCTTTTCTTCGTGCCTCTGCAGGATATTAATTAAAATGACAATGACGTTCAGCTTTTGCCTTTCAAATGGGGCCACCTCCATCTCTGGTCCTTTCTCAGGATGGGAGAATCTAATCAGAGGATATCGTCTCTAAGCTAGCAAGACTATGAAGAAAAATAAGTGTAACTGAGTATAGTGTGACTGAATAAGATAGGCTCCAATGTCTGTCTGAATGCAGAGGGAAGGTAACTTGTTAACTGGTATATGGATGAGTAGTGAGCTGCAATGTACTTAGCAGACCCTCAGGTTTATTTGCTGGGAAAAAAGAAAAAGTATGTGGTAACTGAATTGCTAGAAAGGCTCTTTTTTGGTGTTATTTAGTTTCCTGGCCATTCTGTGAAGTGTGACGGTTTCTCTCTGGCATGAGACCACAGGCAGACATGCCCTTTGGAGTGACTGGACACACCACCATGGCCATCTCCATGGCTTAAGCTAACCCAACCAGACCTTGCACTGAAGCAAATGAGAAGTTTCCACAGCCTTTGTGGCAGCAAAGTAGTAGATAGCAGCAGAGGGGCAGGAGCAGAGAGCTGGTTGCAGTAACATCATCTTGTTGAAATAAGATTTGTTAGTACTTGTGCGTCAACAACTGTGAACTTCTGATACAAGCGACATAGAGCTGGTCAGATGCCATCGAGTCCCTTATGTTGTTTCCAACGGTGGCTGTTCACAGATGCCTGAGGAGGTCTATAGGACCAAGGGAAGGACGTTGCAATGTTTGCTGGCATAGTCTCACAGCCCTCAGCAGCTTTATCCTGATATAAAACCGGTTGTGTGGGAACTATGCATGCTTTAACTATTCATTGTGAAGCCATAGCAAAATTGTTACAGCTGTGTGTAACTTACAGAGACCAAAACAGGAGGGGAGGGCAGGCATGGAGGGGGGGTTGATCTGCTATGGGGAGAAGGTGTCCCAGGACTCCATGTTGCAAAACTTAGCTTTTAAGAATCTGAAAACTATAGAAATCACAGCCTCTGAGACGTGGGACTCATCACTCTTCCAGCTGAGCTCTTGAGCTCTTCCAGTCCATGTGTGTAGCAGAGGCTGAGCCCTTCCAAGCAAGTGTCCTCAGTGTCCATACTCCCACGTCATTCTCTTTTAGTTTTGTCTACACTTGCTCATTGAAACGTGCCAGCTAAGTTTGTGCGTATAGACTAAGGTGCCCAAAGAACATATCTGAGCCAATGTTAAGCTAAATTCACCCGAGACTTTCTGAGCCAATGTGTCTCCCTGCTGCCTGATCGCACAGATTTATCTACATCGGTTTCTGGTTTGTCGTAATACGCACACTTTATATGGAAAAAGCTTAAGATGATCCATTTATTTTCAGAAGCCACAAGACCACTTTTTAGTCACCGCTAAGTTGGGCTAAATTTTAACAACAGAGGTATTTAAGAGAGAAGGGGCAGGCTTTCCATCCTGCTTGCCTTCCCCTGAGCCATTTAGTACATCTTCTGATTAGTTTTTCATTTCAAACCAGGCAGTAAGACACTGCAGTCACAAGCAGCCCTCTCCACTTTATCCTGTGAAACATTATTTCAGTCTGATAATGTAAATCCTGCTCTACCTTTCAGTGATATTAATAATTTCAGAGAATTCTAGCAAATGAGTGGGGTGGATCTGCTTTTCGTACCTCTTTCTGTAGGGTGTACTCTCCTGAGTGTTTCCAAATTAAATGAAATCATGATCACTGGATCACAGAGGCTCTCCAGCTTCAACCTTATTTATGATGTTTGGCTCATCTCCTAGAATTAGGGACAGAAGAGCTCACTACTTGGAAAGCTAATCAAAAAAACACTTAAAAATTCTGCTTTCTAGAAAATAGTTCTCCTGTGTAGATTTTGAAAGGTCGTTATCCTAAGCCGAATAAAAATTCATTTAAGTTCTGAATCAGTGACAATATTTTTCATAGCTGGAAATATTCTTTTTTAATTTATTTATTTTGCTTTGGCTTTTGCTTAGTTCTTTTAGATTATTGCCTGAGATCTGAGACTTGGGTAGGTTTTTTTTATTTGTTAGATCTGAGAATAAAGCTGTCACTGCCATTAAATTTTTATTGGCCTTGTTCAGTCTTTTCAAAATTTCACAAGTTGGCTGTCACAAAGGGGAGAAGAGACTGTGAGGTTAATGTTACAAACAGATGTTATAATTAAAATTAAAGAGTATGATAATATTCTTCAGCCTTGACTACTGGTCCCATTTCATGCAAACAGCACAGCATGGTGGGGCACGGCTTCATGGTGCCAGAGCTGTCTTCTCCCGGCAGAGAAGCTGAACCTTCTTGGCTGCTGGGATGGGATACGAAGTGGCCCCGGAAGGGAAGAAGTTAAAGGAAAAAGCATGGGCATAGGTTCCCTCTCTTAAAGCAGCGTGAATTACAATGCAAATTGCCTTTTAATTTACGGTGGCGGGTTTCCCGCAGCGTGGTCTTTTCACCCTACAAAGGAGAATATGGGGAGGTGGCTGGTGGCCTTGCCAGTGGCAGCACAGAGGGAGACAGTCGACCATTAGCATAGAGATCTTAAAATGGGTAAAACCAGAAGGAATGGACTCACTGTTCATGTCACCTCTGTGCCAGACATAGCATCCAAGCCTTTTGATTACTAAACTCTCCATCCATTAATAAGCAGTAGGTCAGGGGCCACACATCTCTCGCAGTAGGTTCTTCCTCCCTTTTTATGTTTTGAAGACGCTGTAAGCCATTATTCTGTAGCAGCTGTCCATTGCATAGACGGGAAAGCTGGTGCGGTATGAGTAATACTCCCCAAGTATGCAGGGTAAGAGCTGCTCATGCAAAGTGATTACCTTGTGCGTAACCTGGAAGCTTTTGATTGCCCTACTCCATAAAGGAAAATACGGCGATGTTAGAAAACATGCTGAATTTTTTCAGGCAGGATTAATTGAAATAAATTATGTGCTGTGATGTTTCATCCTTAAATTGTTGAAAATTAATGTCACCTTGTTACAATGTAAAATAGAATGAAGGAAGAAAAAATGCTTACCTTTTTTCTGGAAACATGCCTTTTCTCCCACATACTTGTTCAAGCTGCTGCTTCCATTGTCTCCTATGAGGTTTTTTTGCTTTCTATTTCTCTTCATCCTTCTGATTTCCCTGGTTTGTGTTTTTGATACAATATCTATGTGTTGTGAGAGATCAGGTTCATTTTTTGCTTAGCAATACACGCAGGGCCAGGAAGGATGTAGGATGCGAGTACAACATGTGGTACGGTGCTTTTGTGTCAGTGCCAGTATCTTAGATAAAGATAGCAATATTAAAACGAGTAACTGGTGTGTTCATCTTTCCAGCCCTGAGCATACATGTACTTCTGTCCAAGGAGCAAAACAGCAGGTGTACACTTAGCAGACAAACATGTACATCAGAAGCTAAACAATTATTTTGGGGGGGGGGTGGAGGGAGGGACACGGACACTCTAAGAAAATGACTAACAAGATTGTTTTGCAAGAGCTACTGAGCTCTGTCTAAGCAAAGGACACAAAAGAGGCTCTGAATTCCCACAGTAGGATCTATTCCTGCTTGCCTTGTCTTGCAAGTTGGCTCAAGAGAAGTAAAAGTTTGGCTGGCAGTCTCTGGGTGCGGTTGTCGAAGGCAAACCTTCTTTCCTGCTTGGAATGATATGTGAGAAGTTGGTGGTTTACATCCATGTTAGGAGGTCGAAGTGTTTGTCATGCCTTTGTGTCATACTTCACCTGGAGCTGCAGTTACACATCCAGTTTCATAAAACAAATTCAGGCAGCTATTGAGAAGAGTGAGTAGGCTCTCCGGGCATCTGCTGTGCTCCCACTCCCTTTCTGGCAGTGGCACAAGCATTCATGTGGCAATGTTGTCAGTTTTTAACTAGATTTGATCTTGGTGACTGTATAAACGTTTGTGCCGGCATGAGGAACGGGACTGGAATGATTGGTGGAAAGCTGGACCTCATCTATCAGTCTTGTGCCCAATTAAAATGGTCAGGTAACTTTGTTACCAACAAAGCTAGTTCTGCAAAGTTGGAGCCTCAAGTCCTTACGTTCTGAAAGTGAGGTAATTCCTAGCTTGCATTTGTTTCTTTCTGTAGTACTGCCTTCCTCTGAGTTCAGTTTTAGCCAGGTGTAAGAAGAGCAGTTAGGCAGAAAGGTAATCGCATCTCTAGAGCTACTTCAGGAGTTGCTGCTGAGATTTCCAGAGAACCTATCACTTGGGCAGACAGCCTAGTTGGCACCAACCCTGGTATTGATAGAGGGAAGACTTTCCAGCCTATTGCCACCAGTCACATCTGGCTTTCCCCATTTTCATAGCTCGGGTCCCTTCAACCCAAGGGGCCAGTTACAGCTTCATCTCTTGTATGCTGAGTAGCCATGCCACCTGGTGCAGGTGGTTCTTCATAATATAGCTAGCAGTTGGCCTCAGACTGTCACTCCTGATGTTTTAAGCCATGTGTGTCCTGCTGGCTGTTTCTTAGCTGCTTGTTTCACCGTAGTCTCTCCTCCCTTGTGCATCCAGTCCTTCCATCTCTGGGAGCCAGTCCAGATTCAGACCAGCCTAGGTAACCTCTTCCCATTCATTGAGCTACCCGTTCCTTCCTGTGTGCAAGGCACAGAGTCACCTGCAGGTCCATGCTGTGTACGTGCCAGGGCTCTTCATGTAAACCTTCCATGGGAGGAAAGCTGCTTAGTACTAGGGTTTTCTGTTTGTTTCTGTTTTCTTTAGTTCAATTAATTGTGCAGAACTGAGTAGAGAGCATATAGCTAAAAACTGATCTGCAATCCGTGCACGTGGGGGAGAGAGAGCAACCTCTTGGTCCATGGACGGATAGCCAGGGGTTGCTGGAGGAAGGAAACTAATATAGATCAGCAGCTGGGTTAGTTCTTCTAAGGATATCCTCATAAAGGCAGCAACTCAACATCCTCTTGAACAGAGCTACGATAAAGATGACCAGGACAGTTAGCTTAGTTTCAAGTGGGAGCTCAACTAAGTTGCTCTGTGCATCTGTAGCCTTGGTCAGATTTGATACCCGTGGATCTTGTGCATTGAGTGGATATGAGTAGATGTATATCCACCACACTGACCATGTACAATGTAATGGGCTGGTCCTTCAGGACCACACCTTGTTTGCTTAAGTGCTCTGAAAGATCCCATTGTGTTTTAAAGGCCTTAAACATCATGCTGAAGTGCCAAAGGACAAAGGCAATAGGATTTTGAACAGGGCTCGTGTAGGTTAGGCACCGATTTCCGGTTACACGCCTCTAACTCACTCGGGGTTCACATACACACTCCAGGCTACTACTGTCTAACAAGTCACTGCACATCTGCTGAGCCAAATTAACTATCTTTATGCATACCCTTGGCCTGTGGCAAATACGAGATGAACAAATTAGGCTTTTAGCCTTCCTTCACCGTGGGCTAGATTAAGTCAAATGATCTTGCGTAAGCGGTGGGTTGAAAGCACGTGTGTATACATACATTGTAATTGCCTGTGTACCTGAGCGGTTACGTGCTTTTGTAATTACACCAGGTGCCCACCTGCATCTGTGAAGACATTTTGCCCTAGTAAATCTGTTCCCCGCAAAATGAGCTTGCCTGTGGTTACGGGAAGTTTGGGTGCAGAAATGGAGGTATTCATTCTTCCCCAGTAGGCGTTGGATGATGGCAGCTGTCAGAGGGTGGAGTACCAGCCTGAGAGGCTCTTCCTTCAAGGACCGCTGGGGACTTTTCTTATGCGATTTTATCAAATGATTGCAACTTCCTTTATCATCTGCGTATCCTGAAACCTTAAAAAGAGCAAGTGTTACTCCATCCCATTGCTGGCGTAACTGCTTCTTAATACCCTACTCCCTCTTCTAAGTTTGCATTTTTATTATATGACCTTTTCCTCCAAGCAGTGAGTTTTTAACTGAATGATAGCAAATTGCAACTGAGGAAAGTAGATGGAAAATGCAAAATCACTCTGCAGTGTGTAGCTTTTTAATCGTATTCCCATATTCAGTAAAAGTAATGAGATTTCTTGTTTATATTTGTAATCAGCAGAGGCAACTGACTGTGATGAGAAGCCGGACATTTCTCTACTACAAACAGGTAAAATGCATTAAAATTTTTATCAGCTTCCAATGTGTGTATTTGTTTATTTATGGCAGAGAAGCATATTTCAGTAATCCTGGCGTGCTATATACAGTCGGGTAATTGCACACAGGACCCAGCTATCTTAAGTTTTGAATGGCCTGTAATAAAAATCAAATGCATCAGAATCTTACAATTTCCCACTCTGTTTCATATTCGTAAAACCCTAAGGTTCATGGTAGCAGCTAAGCTAGTAAGGCCAGTAAGTTACCTTTCTTATGCCAGGTAGGGACTTACGCTCATCCCTGATGTTTCTGGGAGTTTTTTAATTCTTAACAGAGTTATTGGTAGGGACAGACACAATAGTTTGTATTGTAGCATCTGTTCAGTTGTCCAAGGTATTAGCAATAATATCGTGGGTTCACAGAAAGATTGCAAAGACATTTATATGCTATTTAAGTGTTTTACTGTTTCTTGAAGTGCAGCCACCTTGCCTTAAAAGCCTGACAGTTGCTAAACAGCAGCGTAGCTATGCAGCGGTGTGGGCTGAGGAGTAAGATTTTTTGCACGTTGTTGCATGTGGTATTGAAATCAAGACAGGTTGAGACTAAAGTTTGAAGCACCCTCTCATTTAGAGTCAGTCCATCAATAGGTGCCCTGATGACAGGAGCTGAGCTGCCATCCTCTGAAAATGCAGTGGGGCCAGAGTCTGGGGAGATGATTATTTCCCTGCGTGAAGGGTCATTTCCCGGTCATTTCACAAAAGTGCTGCCTGTTATCCCCAAAGCCAAAGAAAAAGCAGGGAAGATCTTGAGCAGACAAATAGAGTCATGGATTATGGTGCATTTTTACCATATTCCTAAGGTGTAACAACAAAGGATGGTTGGAGACCAGTGATGCTATTGCTGTGAAGAGGACAGGGCTGATACTGGGTTGCTGGCGCGGTACCTAGAGGCTGTGGGGTGGTTGGGAGAGTACTAGTCCCATCGCAGCATCTGTCTCTTGTGGAAGGGCTTCCTAATCTCTCTTGTGTAAGGGCTGGAGAAGGAGCTTTCACACACCGCTGCTGTGTGCCGGAGCAGCAGCTGCCAGCCGTGGAGCGCTGTCGGTTGAAATCCCGCTGTCGGAGCACGTGCAGTTACTAAGGAATAGGACCAGGGAAGCAGTTGGGAGGACAAGCAGCTATAGTCTTGCTCTGGCATGGACCCAGTGGGGGCTGGGAGCACGCGCTGACTGTGAGCCACCGTGCTGCTTTCTTGGCCAGCCACTGAATATTTCAGGGTACGACTGTGATAATAGATGCAGGAAGCTCTGGTTTGAAAGGTCTCTTCCAAGTGACATCCTGTCCGCTTCTTTTATCGGGGAGGGAAGCAATTCTGTTGCAAGAGGACCCTCATAAAGGTTGCTAATGTGACGTAGTGTTATCTTTTCATTGCTCTGGTAATCGTATTAAGGAGCAGAATTATCGGATTGCTGTGCTTTTCTTTGAGCACAGTTTCTGTAGTTACTACTTGAGTCGTACATCATTGATGGAAATGAGTGCGCTGTGATGGTTGTGGTAGAGAAGATGACTCCCTTTCCACTCCACGGCAGATCACGGTTGCACTCTGCTTGCTTGTACACCTTTGAGCATCCGTGCATGCAGTTTTTGAGCTGAAATGTTTCCTTTGCGATGTATACCTCTCTGTTCTATCTGTGGAAGGACGCCTAAATAAACCACACTGCAATTTGCATTGGTGGGGGAGGTGATGCTCACAGGCTGTAAGCCAAGCTTTTGACTCACACCCATTATTATACGTGTGTGAGTGCCTCTTTATAGTACGTGTCCATGTAATATCATACTGTTCTTAGAAGCAAATGATTTAAAGTGATATACAGACAGTATAATGACAGTAATTATAACAGAGAGCCAAAATACAGATGCTTTCTATCAAGGAGTGTAGCAAAAGAGGTGGAATATAACTTTTACAGAGGTCTTTCCCTCTCTTTAGTGCAGCTGGTTTTATAAAGGGGTCTTACTGACAGGTTCTTTAAAGAAGACCCCTCATGCAATTTGTTCAGCTGTCTTCTCTGTTTAGCTTGAAACATCTTTGGGGAAGAGTCTCTCTGTCTGCGTGTTTGTACAGTGCCTGGCGCAGTCAGCCTCGGTTGCAGATGACAGCTACTATCAGATAAATCACGGCCTCAAGTTGTGCTAGGGAAGGTTTCGATTGGATATTAGGAAAAATTTCTTCACCAAAAGGGTTGTCAAGCATTGGAACAGGCAGCCCAGGGAAGTCGCCATCCCTGGAGGTATTTAAAAGATGTGTAGATGTGGCACTTAGGGACCTGGTTTCGTGGTGGACTTGGCAGTGTAAGGTTTATGGTTGGACTTGATGGTCTTTTTGGTCTTAAAGGTCTTTTCCAACCTAAATGATTCTATGATCAGTGGTTAATCTGGTGCGTTGGTAGAATAAAACCAGACCAAACTAGATTGCTTGAAGGGGGTTTTGCAGGAGACTGGATGGGGAGAAAAGGTGGGATACGGAAGCTGTTTATGAAAGATGGTTGCTCTCTTGGTCTTCAAGAATTGAACAAATTTGTGATGCAACAGTGCCCAGAGTGAATGACTTGAATCAATGGTAAGTTGTTGGTGCGAAAAAAAGGGAAAACTCAGATTCCTTTAATCTGCCTTTCCTGCTTAGTGAACCCTGCCTGTGACACTGGCAACATTATGAACCATAGCTGGGTATATATGGACTACTGACACTGAAACACCTTAACCTACGTGTTTTCAGATCACAGCCTATGGCTGACACTTCATTTGAGACACCTCAGTTAGAAGTGTGGTTGCTCTTAGCTCTCTTCATCCTTGGTGGGAAGAGAGCTGTTTCCAGAGAGAGGGTCAGATCAGCAAAGGTTGTGATTGGAGGTGTCTCTCCTTTGGTGCCAGCAGGACTGTGCTCCGAGTGCAGTTAATTGGTTCAGGTGCCTACAGCTGGGTTTGAACCTGCTCCCTCTGTGCCCACAATTATCAAAGTCCTGGGCTTTGAGGAGAGCAGGGGGTGTTTTGTTTTCAAAATCCTCTTCTGGAACTCAAAATCCTTGTAAAAAAATGGAGCTGGTACGTCCTCTTAAAACTAAGGAAGACATTTTTGCCCCAATTATATTTTATCACTTCTGAGCAGAAATCATGCTCCTGTTTTAAAATCACCCTCAATGCTGAGAGGGCCTTTGCTTTAAATGCTGTTGATTGAAGGGTGTTTAACGTAAATTGGAAGAATTGTGGCAGTTAAACTTGCTGGGAACTTTGGCGCATTCACAGATACATCTCAAGAAAATACTAGAAGAATTGTCTCTAGCAAACATTGTCAAAGCTCAGGTTTTCCACCGTTTCAGCTTTTGCACCTACCAAAAGCTGAAGGCTGTGTCCAGACCTGAGCTGAGACAGATCAGACAGCTCCAGGGGTAATTACCATGGACTAAGTGGAAAGACTGATTAGTTTCTCGGTGATACAGGAACCTGGAAGGTGTGAGATAGATCTTTATCAGGATGAAGATTAGAGTCTTTCTATAAGTTGGTATTGTGAAAAGGCTCATCTTATTTTGGTCTACAGTTTACACAAAGCATCTGGATTTTGTATTTAAAAAAAAAAAAAAAAGCCACAAAAGGAAAGCATAACCCATACGTTCTGCATGTGGATACAAATGTAAGCCAGCTGTAACACCCTTTTCTTGAATCCTCAGCTTCAAAATTGCATTTGAAAGATATATGTAGCCCCAAGACCATGGGGGAGCCCTCCTTATACCTGTGCTTTGGACCACAGCTGTGCTGAGAGTTTGTATAGTTTCTCCACACTTGAGTTAATTTCAAGATGAGAAAGAATTTTGATATCCCTAAAAGAAGCCGAAACACTGACATCCCAATCCTCAGGTCCAGGGGTGATACAGCTTTGTGAAAAGATGAGAGCAATCTCTTGGTAAAGAAACCGATGATAAGAAAACAGCAACGATCCAATTCTATATAGGTTGTATCCTTTTCTCTTGAAATAAAATATCAAGAAAACGAAACTTCAAAAAAAAAAACCCTTTTCGAAACCTTAAATATAAATCCTTTATTGTAATATAAATCTTTTTCCTTTCAGTGCATGATTGTATGAGTTTTCCCTTTTCATTGGGTTGTATTTGCCTCTCAGGCTGATTGATGTCTGTCTCCTATTTGCCCTGTGTTCTTAGCGCTCTTGTTGTAATTCTTCTGTCCATCTTTCATTGTTCTGTTTAGAAAAAGCACATTCTTAAAGTGCTTTAAAAAAGCTGGGATATAATCATACCGTGCACCTTTATATATATATATATATATATATATATATATATATATATATATATATATATATATATATATATATATTCTTCCACATGCATTTAGACTGCTGTGGAGTGGTGGGGGTTTTTTCCAAAGACGATCCCAAAGTACATACTCTAAGTTTAAAATTCAAGTGGTGCTTTTTCCCTTCTTCAGAATCATAACTTCAAAGAGGTGAGCATCGCAGTGCAGTTTGTGCCGAAGTCTAATGCAGCACTTTCCATCTGAAGTGGGGTGCGCTATATGTTGTGTGAAAAACTTTGCTGGCAAATTCTGTGTTCAAAAAAATCTATTTAATTTGCTTTTCTTTAGCCGATTGAGCTCTACTGTAAAAGGGATTCAGCAGCCGCTGCCTGCGTGCACACCAGCAGTTCAGCCCCATCACAAATTAAAGTTAGAACTCAAATATGTAATTTCCATAATTTAATTTTTTTTCTTAAATTTTTATATTTTTTAACTGATTTCTTCAAACTCTTTCTTCCTTCAGGTAACCTTTTCGACACCACAACAGATCATCTGATAGACGCAAACCCAGATTTTTCAGCTTGAATTTCACATCCTGCATCAGTGTTTTTATTGGATAGAAACATCCTCTCCTTTGAATAATGTTCCCACAAGATCGGCGCGAGAACTTCAGTGTACTGCAAGGTGTGGACGTCCATACCATTTTCCCTTCAAGTTTGTGTTGTGTCATGCATTTTCCATGTAACCTCAAATAACGAAACCACCAGATTGCTTCACTGTTCTTCATCTTAATTAAAGATGATTTCCCTCCGTATCCAATGCATTATTTAATTAGCGGGGTATCCACTCTGAAGGCATTCTCTTGCCTTTGTTTTTCCTCCACGATTGTATTTTTCCATGTGATTGTATCCTTGCCAGCAGTGTTTTGTCTTAAGCCACACAGAGGTGAATACAGATCTGGGTGACTCTTCGTGTTCCCGGGCGCCAGGGTGGCATCTCTCTCCATCACAAGCCCCGGGGGCTCGATGAGCATTTGACTCAGCGAAGCTCTTCACTTCTGCAGATCCACTTTTCCTTTCCTGGCTGCTGTGGCACCAATGACCAGCTGTACGCAGCTGTGATTAAAAAGTCCTCGCTGGATTTAGCAGGAAATAAAACAGGATTCCTCCCAGCAGTGTCCGGTTTCCTAATTATAGCAAGGAGAAGCTATTCCTCAAACAATTTCCCCTATGTGGTCCTAGTGGGATGGCTCTCAAGCATCTTTGTAGTGCAGATTTCCGGAGGTGGTCATTCTCCCCCCTTGCTTCTACCCCCCAAGCTTGCCCTACCACCTCTGTCTCAAAACGTATTAGTTTGCTGATTTCCAGGAAGAGGGTCTGCACACTGTGATTTTTCAACCACTGCCTTTGGCGACAATATTCACCTATTTAAAAAAAAAAAAAAAGTCACCTTTTGACTGGCACTGTATTGATATCTCAGCAGTTAAGATGAGTGGATCGATCAAGAAATTGCACTACCCTCTTTGACGGTGAAAGGGTCGGTCCTTTCAGGTCAGGGCTAAGGTAAAATTGTACGCGGCCCTCCATGCAAACCTTCACTTCTGCACCTTTCATCAGCACTAAATTCACTTTAAAAATGTCGGGAAAAAGTCTAGAAGGTCTTACCTGCAACATCTATCGATCACCAGGCAGTTTGAGCGTGTTTACTGCAATTGGAGGGAGAGCTTACTAGAGCCTTTACCATTGTGTTTCCTTCCCCTGTGTATATTTTAGGTGCATCTCTTTTTCTTTGGAAACTATTTGGCCTTTGAGTGTCTCAACAGAAGTGCTATTATAGAGTGCGATGGTTTTCGAAATATTTAATCTCTTTTAACAATCCCAAAGCCTGTTTCTCAGATGTTGTTGTATTCCCACAAATAACACCGAAGCCAATGGGAGCGGTTTCTTCTCTCGGCACCTGAGAACCCAGGCTCCCAGCCCTTCCCCACCAACCTACTGTGGACTTTTAGGAATGATCATGTTCTCTCTGAAACTGTGGAATAGATCGAATGTGCACTGCAAACCTTAAAATTTGAGTCTTTCCTTCCTTCGTGGCTTGGAGTTCCTGCATTGCGCAGGGGACGCCGGTCCGTTGTGTCCGTGTCGTAGCCCTTCAGCAACAGAATCAGCGTTTTGTAAATTTGGAAGATTGCATTTGTGTTTACTTACTGTGACTACTGTTCAGACTTTCTTCAGAAATCTTTTTATAGGGTTTATTAGAGAGAAGAAAAAAAAATAATCATTCCATATTTAGGTAAAAATGTCTCAATCTTCTGTATATATGTTTTATTAATATGTAAATATTTAGATATTTTTAAATTACTATGTTCTTAATAAAGCGACAAGGGACTAGTTGTGAAATGGTGTATAACATTGTGTCGTGTTATCGATCTCTGGGAAACCCTCTTTGTCAGTTCAGAAAAGAAAACCTACAATAAATAACTTTAATTGCATGTGTGTTCCTGTGTTCTGTGCTGGATTCCCGTATTTCAGAGGAGTTACCTAGTAATTAGTGGACTACATAGGGAAATGTATGGAAAACCCTAAAAGTTACCACCGCAATACTATTTTTCCAGCTGGCTCGAACAGAAACCATGCTGCCTGCCAATCACGACATCTATACCCAATTGCTTGGTAACTCTTGAGTATTAAGTGCTGATATGCTTGAAGTCTAATTTTAATTGAATTATGTGCCTTTATAATCTGCACTTAAAAGGTTAAGCTCTGCTTCTATGGAAACAACACATAGGAAGGACAAACCAATACTTATAATTTGGAGTAGCTGCAAAGATAGGTGCTTGGTAATTTATTATCACACCCTCATCAAATGTTGTTTAGCCTTAGAAAATATTTCCTGCAAAAACATGTTCCTGGTAATCTTCCATCAATCACAAGGAGCCAGTGAAGTGAAAGAGTGGCTCGCCACACCTTTTCTGCTTTATATAAGGAGCGCTCAGGGTAAATTGCTGGTAAAAAGTCTAGTGAGAGTTTCCTTTACACTTCGGTGCCTGCACAGGTCGGCACAGATCACACATCTTGCATCCCTGTGACATGGTGTGAGTCAGCTCAGTCCCGCGACATTGGGGAATATTGAAAGAGCAAGAAAATCATAGCACCACAGAAGGGTTTGGGTTGGAAGGGCCCATTAGACCATCTAGTTCCAACCCCCTGCCATGGGCAGGGACACCTCCCACCAGACCAGGTTGCTCAAAGCCCCATCCCGCCTGGCCTTGAACACCTCCAGGGATGGGGCAGCCACAGTTTCTCTGGGCAACCTGGGCCAGTGCCTCACCACCCTCAGAGTAAAGAATTTCTTCCTTATGTCCAATCTAAACCTACCTCTTTCAGTTTAAAATCATTGCCCCTTGTCCTCTCACTACAGGTCCCAGTAAAAAGTCCTTCTCCAACTTTCCTGTAAGCCCCCTTTAGATACTGGAAGGTCTCCCTGGAGCTGTCTCTTCTCCAGGCTGAACAACCCCAACTCTCTCAGCCTGTCCTCGCAGCAGAGGTGCTCCAGCCCTTGGATCATCTTTGTGGCCTCCTCTGGACTTGCTCCAACGGGCCCATGTCTTTCCTCTGCTGAGGGCCCCAGAGCTGGACGCGGTACTGCAGGTGGGGTCTCACCAGAGCAGAATAGAGGGGCAGAATCCCCTCCCTTGCCCTGCTGGCCACGCTGCTGGGGATGCAGCCCAGGATGGGGTTGGCTTTCTGGGCTGTGAGTGCACATTGCCGGCTCACATCCAGCTTGTTATCCACCAGCATTCCCAAGTCCTTCTTGGCAGGGCTGGTCTCAATCTTTTCATCCCTCAGTCTGCATTGGTACTGGGGATTGCCCCAACCCAGGTGGGGTTTTGCCCCAACCCCTGCACTGGCCTTGTTGAACCTCATGAGGTTGGCATGGGCCCACTCCCCAAGCCTGCCAAGGTCAACAGCAATTGCCGGTGCCCTGCACGTGCCCACAAATTGGCTTCAGATCTGATCGCAACTCATCACTCACGCAATCAGGGATTTTCCAGTTTCATGGAAGAAGTCCATCCTTCCCTAAACAAGTACTTTCACTCACTGCTCTGCGCTGCAAGTCAACCCCCCAAAAGCGTGGCTCTGCTTGGCTTGTTTTTTTTTTTAAAAAGGGGGCAGGTTAATACGCCATTATTTGTAACGTTAAGTGGAATGCCTGTCTTTAAGATACAATTACGACTGCAAAATGTCACTGTGTGCCAGGATCTACAAAGATCCTGGCACTAAATCTCATCTGTGCTGCAAAGTCACCAGCAAGTACTGCTGTGAGGTTGTGGTTTCACCTGTTGAAATGGCCTCGGGATGGAGCAAGCACCATCGCCAGCATCCATGTGTGGGCTCCAGCCAAGCTCAAGCATCCTCGCTGGGCCATTTGGCCAGTGCATCCCTCTGTCCTGTGTACAGGACACCAGAGATGAATACTTTGGGTGAAAAAAATCCTTCCGAAGCTTAAGAGGAAAAAGGATATCCTCCTGCCAACATGAAAGGAAACTGGAGCCTGGGCTTTATAAAAAATGCATTAATTGCGAGACAAGAAGAAAGTCATCTCAAGTGCCTGTGACATGGTTTAGAAATGGCTGGCTGAGTCTTTTGGGGGAAACACGTGCCGTAACGCCAGAGCGGTTTGAGGATGGGTGGTCCTGAAGTGGCCACCCCTCCTGGAGAGAAACCTTCTCCCCCAAAAAACCTACCTGTGCTGAGATTGCGATGCCTTGCTGGGAAACACATCTCTCCTTCGCTGGGGAAGAGAAGGGGCATGCTTCCAGGAAAAACCCACCATGCCGACAGCAGCCACCCTCTGCCGCTGCCACGTCCTCACAGGCAGACAGATGTAGCCAGGATTTTGCAAGATTTGCAAAAATAACCCCCTTGTTGCACATTCTCCCCCAAATCTAAAGTAGAAAAATGCCTTGTAGGAGATGCTGAGACATCCCTTCTCCCTCCACTGGCTCTTCCGCTGCTCGAGCATCCTCCCAGCCCAGCTGGGGCGAGCGCCTTCACCCCTTCCCTGCCACGCTGTCATCATGGAGAGGCATGAGAAGGTTTGTACAAGTAGGTCAGGTATGATTTCTCATCCGCCAAATGCTAATAAAAGCCACCGATGTGAAACCTATAACTTTATGTGTATAAATAATTTAACTGCGGTGTGTAAACATTGATTCTGGGCTTTAAAAAAACACAGAAATAATTCCATCAGCTTTTTCCCCTCCCCTCCATGCATATGTCTTACGCACAATTACTAACAGGGGCAGAAAATAGCCAATACTTGGGGAATTTGGAAACTGGGGAGAAACACCCCTTGTGTTTCAGTGCTGGCTCCTTCCTCCACCCAGATCCTCAGAGATATAGAGGAATCAAGATGAGCAAGGGAGCTAATTAGGAACAAAGACATAATTCTGGCTTGTAATTGCAAGTAATTGTTGACCAGAGGGATGGTGGTAAGAGGAGAAGAGGCTGCGTTGCATGACCCACATTTTCCCCTTCGTTCCTCTTGCTTCTTCAGGCAGATGCAGGCACTGATCTTGCCCCACGTAGCATCCATCTGACCTTTCCAGCAGCTGTCTTCAGACAAGCTGATTTGCTCCAAAATTGCTCTCAGGAGGAGTCCTCACAGGATGCCCAAGCCCACCTTGAACTGAGCTTGTGGCCTTCCAGCCCTGGCAGACTTCACCGCAGCAGAACAAAGAATGTAACTACCAAATAGCAATAACATTGCTCAGAGAGCAAATCCACTCATCAAGAGAGGCTGCAAGGGGCGAGCAAGGTCCTGTGGCTGGAAATGTTGGGCCAAGGCCAAGAAGGAGCTGCTTTGTCTCACCCTTGCTCTGTGAGACCCTTTGGAGGGAGGTTTGTCAAGGATTATGAACTGGTGTGGTGGGTAGCAGGCTGT